AAATGTTATTTTCTTTTTATAGTTCACCATTATTAATAGGTTCCTACTTTGTTAACCCATGGAAGAGCAGATAATGTCTAAACCCGCAAGTTGACTCTTGTGGGATACTGCCAACAAGTCCAGGTGTTCCTAGATTTAATACTGCAATGGAATCCTTGGCCAGGCTAGATGTGAAGATWGGAACCTGGACTACCGTCCTTCCCTGCAACAATCTTGACCTCTCAAGATGGAAACCCTCTGAGAGCACCAAAATAGGTTATGGACTGTTTTTAACAGTGTGGTGCTTCAGGTTGAAGTTGAGGAAGTCCATGTAGGGAGGAGCCTATAGTTGTCCTTCTGAATGTGCAGGAGATTGTCTCCAGGACATGCCTTCAGTTAAAAAAAAAAAAAAAAAAATCGAAATGTTCAAGTCCCTTCTATGAAATGGCATAGTATTTGCATGGAACCTACACATATCCTCCCAAATACTTTAAACCATCTTTAGATTATTTATAACACCTAATGCAGTATAAATGTTATGTGAATAGTTGTTACACTGTATTGTTTAAATAATCATGACAAGAAAGAAATCTGTACATTCTCAGTACCTGTGGACCTTCTCAGTACAATTCTTTTTCCTGAATATTTTCAATCTGTACTTGATTGAGAATATGGAAGTGAAACTTATAATTACAGAGAGCCAGCTCTATTCACTAAACGGTTTACCTATTTCTGAGCTGCTGCTGGGGGAGCTAGAATAGAGAATCTTGACATATATAAGGAATTCTCTGTGAGGCATTTCCACCTAGATTGAAGAAATAAGGTCTTTTAAGAAGTATAATAATTCAGCACTAAATATTTTTTAAATAATCATACCACAGTGTACTCATTTGGAAGAGTTTTGCTTTCATACCAGTTATATAAAGAAGGTAGAGATAATCATAATACTTCAAAAAATTGTCCTGAGCCTRGGATGTAATTCAGGGGCATAGTATTTGCCTAGCATGTACAAAATCCTGGGTTTAATCCCCAACACTGCAAAATTTAATATAGAATTGTCTTCRCGATTAAATGAGTTAATTTATAAAGGGACTTGGAGTAGTGATATTATAAAACTGAGGCCTGCCCAAAGTCATCCAGCTAAAGAAAAGGTGAAGTGGGAAAATGACCACAGGTAATCTGGCGCTAGGTGTGTGCCAATGTGTGTTGGGAAGTGATAGAGTCTGAATTCAAACCCCATTTTCAAAATGTGAAWTTTTTTTTGCAAAATATTTAGAGTCACATAGACTCTCAACAAATATTTATGTATGTTTTTTCTTTCCGTAAATATTTGATATACCCCGTGGAAATAAAATGCAGAAAACAACACAAACATGCAAACACTTTTCAGACTTTTATTTATAGACTCTGTTATGGTATCTGTAAATTATGAGCACAATAAAAATTTAAAAGGTAAAGAGATGATTTCCAGCAAGGCTAGGAAAATGGTGATTTTTTTGTTTGTTTGTTTTTTTATTCAATACCTTGAGAGTAACTACAGATTTCATAAGTAGATGTTAGGGGTGGGGGTGTGCCTTTTTAGAGGAAGCACTACGTGAAGTGCAGTCCAGAGAAAGCCATGTTTAAAAGGGTCTTGGTAAGTTAAATAGATCTGAGAATTATTTTGCAAAAGTTAAGATGACCCTGAAAGGTACATTGTTCTAGATTCTTGGGTATATAATTAAATAAAACCCAGCCTTGGCAGGATAAGATAATACCAGAAAATTTGGGGAACGTTAGTTTTGAGCAAAGCAAAAATGTAGGTGATTTAGGAACACGGATGTTTTGACGGTGTTTGAACTTTCTTTGAGTGAGTAAAGAGTGGTAGGAAATTGGTTGCAATGGATCCAACATGTTCTGATGAGTTCTCTGCTGATCAGAGAACTACTTTTTTCATTATGAACTAATTAAATTTATACCTGTATGAAGAACAAGAATCATTGGTATTAGATTAGAGCATTAAATGACTTTTCTAAATATATTTTATTCTTATGAGTTAAATTGAAACTAATATTCATTACTAAATGTCCATACTCATGTAATGAAATGCAGCACTAAGCTGATAGCCTATAAATTCTTCTTTTGAGACTTGGTGGTTTGTGACACCTTCATGATATGTCAGTGCTAAAATTTAACCCTGTGTTGGGAGTGTTAATTCAAACCACATACGGTCTTGTAAACTTAGGTTACTTCTTTTGTTGTGAAGAGTTTCATTTGTAGAGGGAAAAAAGGAAAATCTATAAATCACTTTTTAAAAATTTTCCATTATGACAAATAATCAACTATTTGAAAGTTGCATTGTGTACTGCACACATTGCATTGTTAGCTTTTAAATAGGATACAGTTCTGACCCAAGTTTATTAAGATCTGAAATCACTATAGAGTGCGTATTGAATAAACATGCAGAGAAAGAGCCAGTTCCATTAAGTCTAATTATTTTAATATTCAATCTTGTGTCTTGTGTATGTTTCTTCTAGCCAGATGAAATTTACATAGGGAGACGATTGTTGAATATCATATGAACTACTTCTTTATATTTCATTCTGTCCTCTAGAACTTATTTCAAAGTCCATTTTTGAATGCTACAGATAGTCAGATATAAAATAAATGTTTTAAATTTACCCAATTTGTGGTCGAGAACCATATGTATGAATATTTATTCTTTATCAAAATACTTAAAATATTTTTTTCTGCCATACGTTTATGAAATATATAACTTTTGGGGTATGGGGAAATTATTGTCAATTTTATTTAATTCACTACAAAATTWAAAAAAAAACTCACAGGGATGAAGATGAAGAAGAAAACTATCAAATAAAAAGTCAGAAATTTGTCATTTCTTGTCTTTCATAAACCTCACATATGCCATTATTTTTTCCAGTTTTGCTGTGTGTAGTATGTGCAAACCATCCCCTGTTTAAATATCAGTAGTAGATTAATATATGTTTTCCTTTTCTTTTGAACAGACTTAAACCATATACTGCAAACAACCTAGAAATTGGACTTTGAAYGATGAGCCAGGGTATAGCAAATTCATTTTGTTTTTCTCTTAGTCAGTAGGTCTAGCCCAGGTATAGATTAGTTCTTCTGATAATCAAAGAATGGAGTTAGGCAAGTGACTGGCGCCCTCTGTAGTTGTATCTGTATTGTTGACCCAGGTAGCTCAGCGGATCCAAATTACAGAGTCTGTTTTGGAATCATATCAGTATTTAGTGCCTATATATGTTGACTACATTTCAGTTGATACATTAAAATTTGTATCAATATTAAGGTTCTTGCATCAATCATTCTTCTTAAAAAAATACCTTAATATTGCACCTTCAGGATTTTGAGTTGATTTGTGCAGGTGTTGCTATAATGATGGCAGCCTTCAGCATTCCACATGTGATACTAATGTAATTTTATACTTTTGGACACAGTTATGGTTCAAAGACTCTGATCACTGCAAGAGACATGAAATTCTACGTTCACCTAGGGAAAGAAAATTCTCTATAATATTTCTTATTGCTTCTCATATTAAATTACAATGTGGTTTGACCCAGGCCATTTTATGTTTGTCTTTCTGTCCCCAGCAAAAATTTTTTTTTATCAGTTTATAGGGAAATTAGGTTTGGAGAATTAATCGACCCAAGTTCAAACAAACAGTAGTTAAAATGGAACACAATAGAGTTTGTTATCGACTAAATATTAATAGAAGAAATCAAAACTTTCTGACTCATTTAAGCCCAGACTTGGGAAATTTTGACATAATTAAATCTATAAAATAAATACCACAATAACATAAAATGTAATTAGTAAAACTTGATACAAACTTGAAATTGATGGATGAAATCAAGTTATACTGTGAAACGTACTTACAATGGAAACAGTCCCATCAAGATTAAAATGAAGTTGGAAATATCAAAATTTAACTGTGATGAATAAAAAAGAATCATAGATTTAAAATTATCAGGTACCATAAGCTCTAGAAAATAGAATTGCCAGTGATTTACCAATGATGATATGATTTATGTAAATGTGTTTGGTTGCAATCATCAAAAAGTAATGAAGGTTTTCATGGTCCAAGGAGTAGGTTCACAGATGTCCACTTCCTCCTAAAATGGGTTCAAGAGGGTAAGATGGAAATATCTTTTGCCCTTTCTGTATACTAACATGATGGAGAAAGATTCTTGCCATGCTTAGGCTTAGTAACCAGTTTCTTTTCTATTTCTCCCTTCATTTTCTGTCTGTGAGAATGTATCATTTTTCATATATTATTTCATATGAACATGATAGTGGTCATGTGAGTTAGCTATTATTCCATTTTTATYGCTCAAGAAATGAAACAGGTTACCAAAGGATGCATAAATAGTCGGGGCCCAGCCAAACTAGAAAAACATGCTATTCTAATTTCAATCCACTGTAACCATACCTGGCAAATACTGGTGATTATTTACCTTAAGCAGTGTACACATAAACAATTGTTCTCTGTTCTTATAATTGGCAGTTAATATTATACATCCTTCTTGAAACTTCCATAGTATGCTGTATGACCAGTCCTTCATGAATTCCCATGACTTCACAGCACTTTGTTCAAAGTTGGGTAACTGGAAGAGAATAGCACCAGGATTCAGAACAAGGTCCTGTTTATAGGATTGCCACAAAATAACTAGTGTGTTGAAATTCATTTCTCTGAGCCTCAGTTTCCTTATATGTAAAATTAAAATGGTCTTAACCTGCTCTGTGTATCTTCCAAAAAAAAATAAAATAAAAAAACAAGCAAGTAGAGATAAGTGAAAACATCTTCACAATTTTTTAGCCATGGAACCTACCTGCAGCATCTGACACCTGATGTGGTAACGTATGAGGAGCAAATGAGATAGATATGAGAAGATCCATTATAAGATATAATTTTCATAAAAATGCAAAGTGATAATATTTTTATTGATGATTATTATGCCTCATCAGAAAGATTGATCCCTTCTTCTTTGTTTTGCCCTTAGGACCGCTGAGATTCCTTTCCCAGACAGAATCTGTCACTGCGTTCATGGGAGACACAGTGCTYCTCAAGTGTGAAGTCATTGGGGACCCCATGCCAACCATACACTGGCAGAAAAATCAACAAGACCTCACTCCAATGCCGGGAGACTCCAGGGTGGTGGTCTTGCCCTCTGGAGCATTGCAAATCAGCAGACTTCAACCAGGGGACATTGGAATCTATCGATGCACAGCCCGGAATCCAGCCAGCTCAAGAACAGGAAATGAAGCAGAAGTCAGGATTTTATCAGGTATTTCAGTGCTCTTTGTTCTCTTCAGAATGCATCCTCTGGAAGAGGTCAAACAACAAATTTTCCTTCAAATATCTTGTGATTGTTTTATATTCTATAGTGTRCATTGGGTTTGTAGTTTATGATTTCTTTTTTCTCGCAGAGGCACTCCATGAGGGTACACCAAAAGCAGTTATTATTTTTCCATGTCTTGTTGAAATTTCTGGAAAACCAGGTTTATACTTTGGTTTCATTCATTCGTTCATTCACCCATCCTGTTAATGTTTAGTGCACGCTGCTTTGTGTAGAGCCCATTCCTGAGCATTTCTTGTGTATTATTTCATTTTTCTCTGATAACAGTCTGAGAGACCCTTGCTATCCTCATTTCCAAAAGATGAAAGACAGGATGAGTGAGACTAAGAATCATCCCTAAATTGATATTGAACAATCATCTAGTCAYTCATTTACACACTCACTTCTGAGAAGCATTGTGCAAAGCACCAGGGAGATAGCAGTGAATAAAACTGACACAGAGCCTGGCCCATTGAGGTTCTGGGTGAACACAGACATAGAAATGATCACCACAAAGTGTGATTCATACTGTGATAGGGAACGTTATTTCCTTGCATCTCTTCTTTTTTCGTTCTCTTCTCTAGTTAATTTTTGACTGACCTCGTTGTCCTCTCCTAAATGATCAGAGGTTGGAATGAATGCTAAGGTCTCTTCCTTTCAGTGACTGCTGCTCTCACATGTCTATGTCATATCTACTTTCTCAATTATTYCCACTGCTAAGGCTTGGGTAGTCTCACTCATGTGAATCACAAACAGGCACACACTTGAGTAATTGGGATGAACTGCTCATCAAAGCACCTAGATGTTGGCTCCACTCTCTGTACCCTGTGTGTTTTTATCACAGATATTTCAGTTATGCAGAGAGTAAGTTATTTTTAAAACAAACTAGCAAATTGAAAGTTTCCTCATAGTGCTTTAAATAAGGACATCTTTAAAACTTCTTTCTAACTTTTTTTGCACATTCCATCCTCCATTAGTTACAAAGRTATTTACTTAAATATGTTGGTAACTATTGGTATGATGGTTATATTCCATCAACCTTGCAGTGACTGATGCAAATGTAGCATTTATTCTGAACACATGCACGTAGCTATTTAGGCATCCATTACATTCACAAAAGTTTTAAATGCTTATATTCTTATATCCTTAATAATGCATCTGTTGAGTCAATCAGATGGGAAGCCAAGATAAGCYTCATAGAAAACTGGAAAGAATATGTTTGATTATGTTAGAATGCTAGAGGGGTCTGTTTTCCAGTGGTATTAAGGAATCTAGGTGGACTAATCAAATATTCAATTTAAAATGGATTTTGAAAGACACAGAGGCATAATCATCCAATCGCCATTTACTTTTATTTGTTCACTTTGTAAAACACATTTGAATTGTAATCCATGGAGATTTATTTAAAGCCGCATTGGTAATCTGGCTAAAAACAGGAAAGTTTTAGTGTATGCTGGAGGCAGGTAGGTATGTCTTCCATAAATGGAAACTAAATTATTTTTAAAAAGTAAGATCTAATGAGAATTGTTGTCTAAGTTCTGTGAATTCGCATATAACCTTCAAAGAATCATGGGCAGAGGTAATACACATGCACATTATTGTCATACTTATTATAAATATCCTATGCCCTGTTTTGAATACCATTGACTGCCTAATGTGCTTGATCTTTGTCCTAAAGTTTAGTAAGTTGGCTCAGAGCTGATCTACATAGATCCACAAAAAGTACAAGACTCAGTGAGAGGATGAAGGATTGAATGCTSAAGCCTAGCTTTTCTCAGTTGCTTATTATGGTTCTCTCAATTTAAAAATCTTTCTTTTAAAATTCATTTTTATTGCTCCATAATAATTACACACAATAGTGGGTGTGGTTCATTAGGCCATATGTGAACAAGCACATGATGCAGTTTAAGCAGCCTCATTCCCCAGCACCTTTCCTTTCCCTCCCACCTCCCTCCGCCTGATCTGCTGCTCTACTCCACGAATCTATCATTTTAAAATTCATGTTAATATTTTCTGAATTAATTTCCATTTTCTAYAGATACCAATTTAAAGCAGTACTAGATTATATACGCATATTATCCATCCTATGTTCTACAAAATTGGAAAGATGGGGTTACTTAAATAGAAACCTATCATATTAATAGCATGACATAAAAGCATTAAAAGTGACACCAGAATGGTCAACATTCAAAAAATTTATATTCACTTAAAGTATCATATTGACTGATGAAATTATTTAATTTATAAGGACTCACCCATTTTTAATAGAGTAAATTAGAATTAAAGATTGTAATGGATTTAAAAAAAAATAGCAATAACAACACACTCAGCATTGAGATATTTTCAAGTGTCTTACTGCATGTGTTGGGGAATATATGATGGATTGGAACAACCATTGTGGTTGTCAAGTTCACTTTATTCATGGTTCATCACATCTGAATGCCCAGCAGCAGATTGAATTGCAGAATTATAAATCTGCTTTGGGCACTAGGTTGACTAAAATAACTGCCCCATACACTGGAATTCTTATTTCAGTTTTCTTAATAGCCTAATTGAATTGCTTAGTTGGTAATTCAATCTATTGTTCATTTGTTTAACTACAATTAGATGACTCTGGACTCTTTATAGATTGGAACTAAATATCTGTATAACTCACGGCAGTGACTTTTAATGGAATGAACTGGACTAAAATATATTTTGAATGATTTTTCTCTATGGTATTTATTTTGTTGAAATAAATATTAATAGATACCTCAAGGATGTGTCTTATTTAAAAGTAAAATTCTGTTTTTAATCTTAAAACAAATAGTTTCATACTTTTTTCATCACTAAGAATTTCTCACCAACTCAGTATTGTATTAAGCTTTTTATATCCCTAAATATTATATTTCAAAATTAATTACACTCAGACCTTAGAAATATTGCAGTTCAGTTTCAGATTACTTCAGTGAATATATAGAACAAATTACACAATGTTTTGAATTTCTGGTGCATATAAAAGTTATTTTTAAACAGTGATATATTTTATTAAGTGTGTATTAGCATGATATCCAAGAAAACAGTGTATATATTTTAACTAATAAATACTGCTACAAAAAGCTAATGATCATCTGAACCTTCAGTGAGCCATTATCTTTCTGTTTTGAAGTATCTTGCCTCAGTGATAATAGCTGTTGACTCACCAGACCAGTAGTTGCTGAAGGTTGGAGGGGCTATGGCAATTTTTTAAAATAAGACAGTGGTGAACTTGGCCTTATACTGATTGACTGTTCCTTTCATTAAAGTTTGTCTGTAGAAGGCAATGTTATTTGATACCATTGCACATGCAATAAAGCTTCTTTCAAAACAGAGTCATTCCCTCTAATCCTGCCCCTGCTTTATCAAATCATGTATGTAGTATTCTAAATCCTTRGTAGTAATTTTAACAATGTTCACAGCGTCTTCCCAGGGGTAATATCCATCACCACGAGACAYCATTTTCTTTGTTAAGCCACAAGAAGCAATTCTCCAGTTGTATCAYGACAACTGGAGAAAGTTGTATCACGACACTATGGCAGTTCAGGCGCATTTGTAAGCATGATTTCTAATTCTAGTTTCCGTACTATTTCCACTCCTTGCTATTTCCACCCCATCTGTAGTTACTTCCTCCACGGAAGTGTTGAACCCCTTAGAATAATCCACACAAGCTGGAATTAACTTCTTCTCAGATTGAGTTATGTTGATATTCTCACTTTCTTTCATGAGTCATGAATAGTCTCAATGCTATATAGAATGATGAATTCTTTCCAGAAGGTTTTCAAATTATTTTTTCCAGATCATCAAAAAATGTCTCACTCTCTTTGCTAGACTGTGGCCTTATGAAATGTATTTTAATTAATAACAATAGAAGGAGAAATTGCTCCTGACTCCATGGATTGCAGATTGTGTGTTGTGTTAGCTGTCATGAAAACACAGTTAATCTCATTATACCTCTTAATCAGAACTCTTGGGTGACCAGGTGTATTGTCAATAAGCAATGATATTTTAATATTTGTAAGGAAGTCCCCCATCTGGGTGGTAGTCCTTAATGGTGGACCTCAAATATTCAGTAAACCATGTTTTAGATTATCGTGCAGTCACTCGGTCATTTGTATTAGTTAGAGAATTGTATTTGTAAAAAGTGGCTGGGTCCATTCCCCTATAATCATACATGCATTGAATCTGACCTATACCATGTCACTCCTCACTCCCACCCAGCCCTCCACTGCACTGATCCTTCCCTTGCTCATTCATCTATCCATTCTTGACTGGAGCTTTCTACACACACATAAAGGTAATATTCCCTATGGCACATTTATATATGCACATAATATAATTCTGTTAAATTTATTCTACTTTTTCTCTACTTTCTCATCCCTTTTGCCTCCCTCTCAATCTCCTTATTCCACTTTCCTGATTTTTCCTATATCCTTATGATGTCTGATACCTTTCTTTTCCTTGTTTTGCTCTAACTTCCATATACAAGAGAAAATATCCAACCTCTGACTTTCTGAGTCTGGTTTAATTCACTTACCATGATGTTCTCCAGTTCCATCCATTTACCAGAAAATGCCATGATTTAATTCTTCTCTATGGCTGAATAAAACTCCAGTGTGCATATATACCACATTTTCTTAATCAATTCATCTGTTGATGGGCATCTCAGCTGATTCTATAACTTAGCCTTTGTGAATTGTGCTGCCATAAACATTAAAGTGGCTGTATTGYTATAGTATGTTTATTTTAGTTGTTTTGGATAAATACCAAGGAGTAGGATAGCTGGGTTAGATGGTGGTTTAATCCATAGTCTTTTGAGGAATCTCTGTATTATTTTCCAAAGTGGTTGTACTCTTTTGCAGTTCCATCAATAATGTATGACTGTACCTTTTTCCTCACATCCTCATCAGAATTTATTATTATTTGTATTGAGA